TACACATCATCCAGCTCTTACTATTGAAATACCTCGCCTGACTGCCAACAGAGTTACACTTAATCCTCCCAAACGGTTAAATTATAAAAAATGTAATTTTGATAGAGTAAAAACTGAACTCTCTGAAATACATTGGTCATCCCTGTTGTCTTCTTGCGACATAAATGAAAATGTTGATGTATTTTATGACACTTTGCTTAAAATTATCAGGAAACACACCCCTCATTCACATAAAATGAAAGATAATTACCCCGTCTGGTTTAACTACAGCTTAAAAAAATGTATTGCCGAGAAACAAAAATTCCACAAATTATATAAAAAAACTAAAAATCCTCGAGATTATGATGTTTTTCTATCTTCTTCGTGCACGTAGCAAAAAGTTAATGTCTCAATGTTATAAAAATTATATTGCCTCTACTGAGACTGAGTTACGTAACAATACAAAGCCTTTTTGGTCTTTTGTTAATAGCAAACGTAAAGAAAGTAACTCGATACCACATTCGATGAAATACAATAGCCTTGAAGCTTCTGACCATAAGGGGATATGTGACCTATTTTCAATTTACTTTGGTTCAGTTTTTGAGACTAATAATTTTCATGACTCCTCCACTAACTCTATTGATGTCCCTGTCAGCAGTACCCTAGCCTCTGTCTCAGTTACGGTTGAGGAAATCATAAATGTAATTAAAAGCATTGATTCTTCTAAGGGAGCTGGGCCGGATACAATACCTCCTTTTTTCATCAAGAACTGCGTAAATGAAATCAGTTTTCCACTCTGCATACTTTTTAACCAATCACTCAGTTCAGGAATTTTCCCTGACCGATGGAAGACGGCTCACATAATCCCTATTTTCAAAAGTGGAAATAGAGCTATTTGCGAAAACTACAGACCTATCAGTATACTGTCTTGCTGCGCGAAAATTTTCGAATCTATTGTGTCTGACCTCATTTATAATCACATAAAACCTCTTTTGTCGACCAATCAACATGGTTTTGTTAAAAATAAATCTACAATCACCAACTTACTAGAATATAAAAACTATTTATGTTGTGCTTTTCCTAAAAATGTGCAAGTAGATTCTGTCTATACCGACTTCTCTAAGGCTTTCGACAAGGTTGACCATCTTCTCCTTTGTCGAAAGCTTTGTCAAATGGGTATACATGGCTCGCTGCTTCGGTGGGTCGAATCGTATTTGTCTCGAAGGAGTCAGCTGGTGGCTTTCAAGGGTGAACTATCCAACCCAGTTCTTATTACCTCAGGTGTCCCACAAGGCTCGATTCTCGGCCCTTTACTGTTCATTGCCTTTATAAACGACCTTGATGCGCAATTGAAAATGTCCTAGCTTACTATATGCGGACGACTTAAAAATTTTCTCCGAAGTAGCTACCCCTGAAGACGCTGAAGCACTACAAATGGACATCGAAACCGTGGCAAGATGGTGTACTCATAATCACATGTATTTAAATATTAATAAATGTTTTGTATTGTCCTTTACTAGAAAAATAAATAAAATTAACTTTAAATACACTCTATATAGACAAAAACTTAACAGGCAGAGTCAAGCTAAGGATTTGGGTATAATTTTCGATGATAAATTGAGTTTTCGTAAGCATTACGATTACATTCTTATGAGGAGTGGTAAAATGCTGGGTTATGTCCTGCGAAACACTAAACAGCTTAAAAAGCCAAACAGTATGGTATATCTGTATAATTCACTTGTCCGGAGTGTTCTGGAATATGGTGCAGTCATTTGGTCTCCGTTTTAGACCGTACATACTGAACGCATCGAGAACATTCAAAAAAGATTCTTGAGATGTCTCTCTTTTCGTCATGGTTACCATCGCAAGTTGGCCTCCTACACAGATAGGCTGCAGAAATTTAACATGGTTACGCTAGAAACGAGACGCATAAGGTTCGGGCTTATATATCTACACAAAATAGTACACTCTACGATTGATTCTCCGTCCTTGCTTGCGTCAATTAACATAAACACTCACTACAGGGCCCGTGACCGCAAGCCTAAACTGTTTTCACTCCAAGTGTACCGTAACAACACATCATATTACAACCCAGTGGTTAGGATGTGTCGCCTCTACAATGATATATCCCAGGACCATCAAAATATTGATATTCTAGGTTCAACTCCAAATGTCTTCAATAGATCTATCCGGGATATTTTGAAATAACTGAAATAATTGCTCTCATCTATATACTTTTGTTCTAGCTTGTAACAGGCCTCTCTTGTTGATTGCAAAGCCACTGTTTTATTTTTTTATTTGTTTTTTTTTTAAAAGTTTTATAACTTTAGCAAATGTAACTCTTAATAACTTACTTCATAAACACATGTTTTGGCTTACAGTTTAGTACATAATCATTTAATTTTAAGAAACTTTTATCTCCACAACTGTAAACTGTATTGTGTTAATAAATAAAATAAAAATAAAAAATAAAAAAATATCTAATTGATATCCGGTAAGGGCCTCCACCGTCATTAGCGTCCCATTGTTCATATTTCTATTGTTCTATTGTTCATTAATCACCTTCATTGCAGCGTGTGCGTCGACTATATCAGTGCTATTGTATTATATTTCTTTGTTCCTAATTATACAACGCTAATCTGAATCATCAATAAAACACATTACATAATTTTGTTACAATTTTTATTTATAAAATACAAAATCTTATTACTTATTATCTATAAAATAGGAGCGAAACATCTCATCCACTAAAATATCGTTGTACAATGTGTTCCTTGTAAATATACTCGTAAAACTATGTATTGAACATCCTTGAAACTTATATAGCAAATACATTAAGCAATATTCGCCACAAACTGAAGTCCACTCATTCTGAATCCTATCAACATTCCAGTTCCATCTTTTACAATTCCTTTTTAAAAACTCTAGATGATATCGTACAGGTGATCGTCCATATGAATCAAAATATTGACCGACGTCATTCGTATCGATATATAAAGCTACCCAATGTGACCCTGGTTTATCATCTGTATCCAAATTACATATTATATACGTTGGTACGTGGGTATACATAGGCAGTCTATTAGCTGCATAAACATTATTATCTAGACTGGGGTGAATCTTTTTCAGATGTTGTTGTACATCTAGTGTATCCATGATATTACTGCTATTAGTACATTATTACAGTACCTCTACTCAATGAATAACATAGGAATGGTCAATTATAGTGATTTCTAAATATCAAATTGCATTTTTGTGTTATACAAATCGTACTTGAGTCATTGATCACCAAACAAAACACAATACGAAGAAATGTTGAGATAGACAACGGAAATGTGAGATAAACTGGTTCACGCATAAAGTAATTATCAACTCATTACGGAAATACTTTAGATTAGAATTTTTACGTACTGGTGGTATATAAGACCAACAGACGCAGTCATCGAGTTAGTGTACGGTCGTTTGACTACAGTGGATCTATCAATAGTACATTTGTGTTACTTCAATACACCAAAGGCTATGGATGTAAGTGTTTATTCTATTGACTAAATTACTTTTTTTCTGTTATTTTCATGTGTGTGTATTATTTTATTTAAATATTGTGTATGTATATGATTAAGCCGTGGTAACTCAGATGGTTAGCGCTAGCTGTAAATTTCACAGTACGCGACCCGGGTTCGATCCCCGCCAGCACCAATTAAATTGTTAATCGCAATTTTAAGAGCTTATTACCACGTGCTTGGTGGTGAAGGAAAACATCGTGAGGAAACCTGCATGTCTGAGAAAATTTCGAAGGCATGTGAAGTTCACCAACACACATTGAGGGAGCGCGGCGGACATTTCCTTGCTCTAAAACCCTCTCAGAAATGAGAGGAGGCCTATGTTCAGCAGTGGACTTTAATAGGCTGTAACTTTAACTTTTTTAACTTTTATGATTAAGTGTTAACAAATTGATATTAACATGATAACTGTGTTGTTGCAGAAATCATTGAGCTTCGATGAAGATACCTATAAACAGTATTACTACTCGCCACTCTCCCCTCAAGAAGAGAGTGATAACCTCGTCATTAATAATAACACATGCGATGGTGGAAAAAGAAAATCGCAATCGATTGATCATTTTTTTGAAGCTGAATCAAAAATAAAAAAGAGGAAGCTGTTATCATCAACCGTAGCACGAGCCGCTAGAGATGGTGTATCATACATTTCTACTAATTCTGACGACGGAGACCAAGCGACGCATCTCATCAAAATTGAAATGTACGATATGAAGAAGCTATCCAAGATTCCAACTACTGATCATTGGAAACATGCTTCCACGAGAATTAAATATTACGTAAAGACTAATAAGGATAGCATCTACGACAACACAAACGCCCTCGTATACAATATAACAAAGACAATAGCAGAAAGTGAAAAAGTTAAAAAATACTTTTTTAACAATGACAGTCATTAGCTGATCATTAGTGAATGTGATTCTGTTTACTTCAATTACAGGAAGACAAGAGCGGAAGGAAGAGATGAGTGTGGCATACGTGTACAAAACACATCATTGAATAACAAAACTACAACACTGAGTGGAGAAGAAAACGAGAAGAGTATGCAGTTCTCAAGAGCTGAATATCCATTCTTCAGTTCAAAATCTAGCCGTTTGCTTAGTTTCAAAAACTGTCCTCTCGTTATGCGACAGAAACCTGAAGATCTTGCAGAAGCTGGTTTCTTTTATACTGGCCATGCAGACGGGACCAAGTGTTTCCATTGTGGTGGTGGTTTAAAAGATTGGGAAGATGATGATGATCCTTGGCAGCAGCATGTTCAGTGGTTTAGTCAGTGTGCTTATGTAAATTTTAAATCGAACAGTGTTTTGTATTAGATTAAATAGAAGATTTATAAAGAAATAAAAAAAAATATATTGCATACAATTTGTTTTATTTAATTTTATAACGTTTCACATAGTTACATACACACAAAATGCATTACACATAACACATAAAATCTAACACACAACACATATTATAACCTTAACTACTATAGTCTACAGTAATATTTCTGTTTTTATCTATCTCAATAATATTATCAAACTCAGCATAAACTATACAGTTAATTGTTTGTATTAATGAGGATTCAAATCGTACTTCTATTCTTACACTACCATGCTTTATGAGATTCCAATGAGTTGATGAGTTAGCTGATAAATCAGGAGTTAAGTCAAATGCTAATAGACAGTAACCTTTGCCATACTGTTCACAAGAGATTCCATTTCCTTCATTAAGAAAGTGAATACCAGTTCCCGAGAATAGAGTATGATATGCTGATGTAAATATGCTATTATTAAAAGATGGTTGCAAAGCTTTTGAACGTATTTGTTGACCATCAATATATAAGCTGAAAGAATTAATACCATAGTTTTCAAAGTTAAATGGGTTTTTAGTAAGGGAACCATTAAATGCAGAATTGTTCACAAATCCAATTATACATCTTTTCGGTACCTGTCCTAAAAATATATTATCAAGAGTTTTTCCTTGAACACCCGAAGGAATTGTTAAAACTTTTACTTCAGCTCGAGTAATAGGATATTTAGCAGTGGTAGAAGCTAAAACTTTTTGATGTGCGAGTAATACACTTGGATTAATTCGTGCTCGTCGAACAATAAGAGTTGCGTCCGTAATGCAAACTTTAAACTTTACATCGTTTGACCCAACAATTAAATTAAAACTCTCTCTTGATCGAACCAATTTAACACTCATTTCAACACCATTAATTAAAAATTTATCTTGGTTAAAAATTTCACCGTGAAGATGACCAATCATTTCTATTTCCTTACTTTCACTAATAAATTCCTGTCTTTTAACAAATCCTATGTTTTTACCATCTGTAGAATCCATTTTTCCTGCTGTATCATCATACCAAAGACTACAAGTAAGATGAGATTGTTTAGCAGCAGGGGCATAGTTTAAAAGGGTTTCCATGTATGCTCTATATGCATAGGTATTATTAGGTGGTGATACAAGTTTTTGGTTTAAATAAACATCAAGTTGACTAAAAAGTGAATGCAGCCAATTATTTACAGGTGCTACTATTGTAGTAGATACCAAGTTAGTTGAATCTTGATTTAATACTTTTGCCTTTATGTGGAGTAATGTATGAGACAAATCTATGTAGTCATCGCCGGTCCCAGGAACTTGAAACTCGATAGGTCCATCATCACCAAGAGATGAAATTGGTTTATAATGAATCCACAATCCATTTTCAATGCTAGTTTGTGTAGACGGTAGTGCAAACAAATCCAATTCTGACTTAACGCACTCACAAGAATGATTATGAAGGAAAGACATATTTAGTTTGAAAATATATCTTTGATATTTTTTGGTTTTAGACAAAGTTTTTTCGCAGCTTTCACTTTAGCAGTTAATGGTGGAATGAACGATGTCAATCGTTTTCTTTTAGTTTTATACCCAGATCCAGTCATGTTAAATTGATCAATTTTCTCATCAGCCTTTCGTTTTAAATTCGTACTAACTTGCTTTAGACGATCTTTTATTGAGGCTTCCATAGGACGGGCTTGAACCATATCCGATAAAAGTCCTACTCCAGCGCTTAATGCCTCCTTACCAATCACTCGAGCACCACTTGAAAGTAAAGGTAAAACTGATCTGAATAACCCCCCTAAGAAGCTCCCAATATCATGACCGCGTTGATATGGTGAACCCTTATAAATTACTCCAACTCCTGATCCAGCTTGATGTGTATAATAATTTTCATATGGACATTTATGATGATCACGAAGAGAATTCATTATTATAATTTTCGGAAATGTAGTTTAATACACACGGTTCCAAACTGGAATGGTATTTTTTGTCCTGTACTCGATCTTATAACTATTTCCAACGTATCGAACTCTCTTCGCATAACAGGTAAGTAGTGAGGTTGAGAGAAAACGTGCATTTTATTTGCACCATAAATATATTTTGTAGGATCTAATGAAATGACTCTTAATAAAGGAGTCATAACATCACCCACAATCTGAGGATCGATAATGTCGCAATATAGAAATAGTTGAGATGGTAACCCTAAGTGTAAATTAGCAGGACACTTTCCGAAATTTCTCTCTAGGAGATTTTTATTTGGTTCATAACCTAGCTGTAAACTTAATTTGGGTGATAATGTTACGGATGTTATATTTTTATCCAATACCGAAATAGACACAAATTTTGTTATTTCATCATAGCGAAATTTCAAGTTCTCTCCGATACCATTTAACACTCTTAAAATATGCTCAACGTTATCATAGTTGGTAGCTGGAATATGTTTTTTGTAGTACACTGTGGATGGTTTATCTTCATTAGGCATTAACATAGATTTTGTAATGTATATAACATTTTCATGGTCTTGAACAGTAAACATGGTACATGGATATTGAAACTCGACAACTCCAACCGACCATTCACCTTCTAATTTTTTTTTTTTTTTTTTTTTTTTTTTTTATAGAATAGGGGGCAAACGAGCATGCGAGATTTTATAGCTTTTGGTAATTTCGTTGAAAAATTTGTGGTCTTGTTATCAGGAAAGTATTCCATTGAACTATTGCTGAGCAAAGTTAAATAGAAACTTTCTTTATTCATATTTCTTTTAAACTAGAAGCTAAAATCCAACTGTTAAATTTATCTGGATAACCTTTCCACTTCACTAATACTTCTTTTCTGTTACCTGAATAACGAGTGTCAATTATTTTATCTATTTTATGTTGTGAGGTGGGGTTGTAAGTGATTTTCTGTAATTCTCTTTCATAAAAAGTACCAATTATTGGTTCATTTTGTAAATCTGTTATTGTATAAACAACCCATGGAGATCTATCAATTATTGAAGATATAATAAATATTTCATCACTCCAATTTGATTCATATCCTTTTTGGAATACATGTTTATATTTAGTTATTCGAACATAATCACCCACATTGAAATTTGGTTTAGGATTTTCTAAAGAAAGTTTTTTTGACCGTCTATCATAAAGATTAGTCCAAACTGTCATAATATTGTTGGAATTTACATCACATGGGCACATCTTAATACTAGAGTGAAAGCTGTGATTATAAGAGTATATTAAATCTTGTAAAACATCTATATATCTATAAGTATTATTATGAGTGAAATAACGCCACATTTTCATTTTTAGTGTTCTTTGAAATCGTTCAACAATACTAGCCTTAATGTCAGGATTGTTAGTGGTATAGTAATTAATCTTTTTGGATTTAAAGTATTTTTGTACATCTTTTGAAACAAATTCTGTACCTTTATCGGATTGTATTTTTTTTTTTTTTATAGGAGAGGGGGCAAACGAGCATGCGGCTCACCTGATGGTAAGTGACTACCGCCGCCCATGAACAACCGCAACACCAGGGGAATTGCAGATGCGTTGCCGGCCTTTTAAAAAGGAGTAGGCTCTTTTCTTGAAGGTCCCTAAGTCGTATCGGTCCGGAAAAATCGCTGATGGTAATCGATTCCACAAGGAAGTCGTGCGAGGAAGAAAACATCTTCTAAATCGCACAGTGGTGGACCGCCAATCATCCAGATGGTGTGGATGGTATCGGGAGTTCTGCCGCGATGTGCGTTCATGAAATTTGGCGGCTGGGATTAATCCGAACAATTCCTCAGAGCACTCCCCATGGTAGATGCGAAAGAAAATGCAAAGAGATGCAACATCTCTTCGCAGTGCCAATGAATCGAGCCGATCGGAAAGGGCTCGGTCGTCGACGATTCGAGCCGCTCTGCGCTGGATGCGGTCAAGTGGAAGGAGCTGGCACTGGGGAGCCCCTGCCCAGAGATGGGAACAGTATTCCATGTGAGGCCGAACCTGCGCCTTGTAAAGTTGCAGGCGGTGTGCCGGCATGAAATACTGTCCCGCTCTGCTGAGCACGCCAAGCTTTTTAGAGGCCAATTTGGCCTTCTCTTCCAAGTGACCACGAAACTGCACGTCACTCGATATGTCGACTCCGAGGATACCGATACTGGCTGAGGCAAGAAGGGGAGTGCCTTGAAACTGAGGAGATACGACAAAGGGGTTCTTTTTAGCGGTAAACGCGCAAACTTGTGTCTTCTGAGGATTAAACTGGACTAGATTTAGTCGCCCCCAATCCGAGACTTTGTCCAGCAAAGACTCGACTTCAGACACAAGTTTGTTCCGGTACTCGGCGACGTTTTCCCGAGAAATATTGGCCCGGCCGGTGTATAGAGCATCACCAGTGCTGTCATCCGCATAGCAATGAATGTTACCAGTTAGCAACATATCATTGATATGCAGAAGAAACAGCGTTGGTGATAGCACACAGCCTTGTGGAACACCAGCGTTAATAGGCTTGTAGTCAGAACATGCACCGTCTACAACGACCTTGATGCTCCGATCTGCAAGGAAGCTGGTGATCCAATTGCACAATTTCTCGGGAAGCCCATAGGAAGGGAGCTTCGAAAGAAGCGCTTTGTGCCAAACCCGATCGAAGGCCTTCGCAATGTCCAGACTAACGGCCAACGCCTCCCCCTTGGACTCTACTGCCTCCGCCCATCTATGGGTCCGGTAGACTAGAAGATCACCAGCTGATCGACCCCGACGAAAACCGTATTGGCGGTCACTGATCAGCTGGTGATCCTCAAGGTACCGGATGAGCTGGCAGTTAATAATGGATTCCATTATTTTGGAGAACAAGGAGGTGATCGCGATAGGCCTATAGTTGGACGGGTCTGAGCGGTCGCCTTTTTTAGGGATCGGGTGGACAAAAGCTGTCTTCCATGAGTTCGGGACAACGCCATGGGAGTAGGAGTACCGGAAAAGACGCGTTAGAACCGGTGCCAACTCCGGAGCACACGTCCTCAGCACAATTGGGGGGATTCCGTCAGGCCCACTCGACTTGTGGATGTCAAGGGAGAGGAGTGCTTTGCGAACCAAGCGCTGTGAGAATAGCACATCCGGCATAGAGCACTCACACCGCGGGATGGTCGGCGGTGTGTTCCCCCCGTCATCAACAGTCGAGTTGGACGCAAAAAGGGAGCCTAAAAGGTCGGCCTTCTCTTTTGCGTCGTGGGCCAGTGAGTCGTCCTCCCTGTGCAGAGATGGTAGTGATGGCTTACAGAAATTCCCTTGGACAGCCTTGGCGAGAGACCAGAATGCACGGGTTCCCGAAGGAAGGCGAACTAGTTTCTCGCCAATTCTGCCTATGTGCTCTGACTTTGCCTTGGCAATAACTCTTTTGAAGGACCTGGAGGCGAAGTTATACTTCTTTTTAAGTGTGCTGGTGTTTACATCCCAAGTCACCGAAGCCGCAGCCCAGGCTTGATAACACTCCTGCTTTCTGCGCAATGCAGTCTTACAGGAGCGACCAAACCAAGGCTGAGATCTGCCTCCGATGGGTACCACAGATGATGGAATAAATAGTTCCATTCCCTGTAGCACCACATCAGTGACAGAGTCAGCAACAGCGCTGGGATCATCCGGCGAGAAGCAAACCCGCCCCCATGGGTAGGATGCAAAGAAAGACCGCATTCCGTCCCAATCTGCCGACCTGTAATGCCAAACACGGCGGCAACCTGCAGAACGCAACCGCGAAGGGAGCGTGAGTGGCACCATACTCCGGATCAGACAATGGTCCGAAGAGCCGAGAGGGGCATCGACGGAGACCTGATATCCGTCCGGATGAGAGGTCAGCAGAAGGTCCAACAGGGAAGGTGTATGATCCTCCACATCTGGAATCCGCGTAGGCGAAGTAACCAGTTGTGTCAGACCATATGCCAAAGCAAGGTCATAAACAGATCTCCCCGCATGATCGGTTAAACGTGAACCGAGCCATTCTGCATGGTGGGCGTTAAAATCGCCAAGGATCACGATCTCTGCGGATGGGACCTGTTGTAGCAAGGAATCTGTAGCCATTTGGACGTGGTCGATGAGTCGGTCTGTTTCGGCATTACCGCTATGGGACCTATAGAGGCACCCGTAGACGCGCGGATGGTCGTCGCTGTCTACGCGTAGCCAAAGGATGGACAGGTCCGAACCTTCAAGACTGCCGAGGCGTCGAGAACAGATGTCCTCTCTGACATACACGCAAACTCCAGCCCGAGGCACAAAGGAGTGCTCCAATTTGTACCCCGGGCAGGAGAGATACGAAATATCAGCCGGAGAGGAAACCTGCGTCTCGGTCAGAAAGAGCAAGGCCGGCTTCGCCGTCTCGAGATGGTAGTGGACGGCGTTGAGGTTAGAGTGAAGTCCCCTGATGTTGCAGAAATTCACGGATAGCGTGGCAGGGGTCGCCTTGGTATTGTTGCTCAGTTTGCCCCAAGCAGTTTTGTTTTT